AGAGGGAGTTACTTGTAAAAATCGTAGGATTGCATGAGTTTCGCAACCTACTGTAGTTTTATAATCTTGAAACTGATCTAATAACGTAGGCGAGGCATCCGGTAACATGAATCATTTAAACTTTTTATCATCGCAGTAGTCGCACTCAAGTCATTCGGACCGACAATTGTAAGCAAATTGGCCGCAATAGATGACCGTTTTCCGTCCACTCCCAGCGATAGCATCAACAGCCTTCACTAAATCGGTGCTTCTTAAACAGTGTTTTCGCACGCACTAGCACTGCAGGTGACTGGAAACACTTTAAAGTGACAGGCCTTACGCCGCTTTGTTTAAAATAGGCTACCCTAATTACCAGTGCTGCATCTTTACTTAAACAGCCATTTTAATTTCAGAATACATTTTAAAATACCAATCAGTTTTTCATGAACTTGCTCTGCTAATACTTATGTATCGCTTAGAGCTGCGCATTCCCTAAATGTAAGCTAAATATCCGACGTAGTCTTTCTATGTGGTTTTTCGCAATTCATTTCTTTCGTCTTTGACCTCAGTACCGTGCGAAATCAGCCAGTCCGAGTGGGCTTACATTGTGAAAGTCTAGTTTTGGGTTCATTACGCTTACTACGCATAACTGTATACATATTTCATAGTAGTAGGCATGTTCTCTCAACAGATAGCTACGACACCGTCCATCCACATTCGGAGGTACTATTGGGCTGTTCTTGTCTCCCATTGGTTCCATTTCTCGCACACCAATATTTAAGTTATCTAAATAACCGTTCCTATCATTTTTTTACTTTTATGCGCCCTACGTTTTTTAAATTTTTATTTTCCCCGATCTGCCCTACCTATTTAAAATCGATTACCAGCGGTGCTGTATTACAGAATGCTGAGGTTTCCCCTTGCTATAGTGAGCCCGAAACGAAACTATTACCGCTTCATTCTAGGACCTGAAGTCTTGCAATTTGTTCTTGAGGAAAACAGCAGCAGTATCTGCATGCACCATTTGTCGTCTTTTAGGTCCGGCACCTTCGACCTTTTCTGTCGACTGACCCGCCTCGTTTTTCCTCTCCATCCGTCAGAACTCTTCAGCATGTACGTTTCAGTAATGTTTTTATGGACTGTTTTCGTTGTCTCCTTGTCCCCTACCACTCTGCAGACAGGTCTAGCAAACATTCACCCTCCTGTGTTATATTCTGCTTTCGTCCCTCAGATTCTTTTTTTTTACTTAGTATTTGCTCGTTTCTGTTCCTCGGTATTTCCTTCTGTTTAATGACTGGCCTATCTCGCACCCCGTTCGTGCTGACTCTTGTAAGCTTGTTTTAGTGGAAATGTTTTATACAACACACAATCTAGATGAAAATAGGCTTTTGTTCATCGAACCATATTATCAGGTAACTGGACCACTGCAAAAATACGGCGTTGGGGCATGTTAGACCTGAGGAATGAGAGTCAGACTGCAATGGCTCCTTCTAAATGTGGCCGTTTTGCAAGTGGAATCCTAGCCAGGTATTTTTGCGGCGCGCATTGGAGGGGCGGCCTCGACCGCGCCAGCCGCCTGCGCCCTCTCCAGTCTCCTGTCTTTATCTTGACACCGGGTACAGGTACGGGAGTGGGGACAGCGTGCAGTAGATTCGGCCCAAGTCTACTTTTACTATAATCCAGCGGAAG